ACCTCAAGAGACGACATCCCAATCATGAGATCGTGATTCCAGGTGTTTATGGCATGCATACAAACATCACGTGCATGACACGATGATTAACAGATTGATGAGTAATTAACCTCAAATCCGGCAAGTACTCGCTCACCAGCGACCCTACGGTACATGTATTGGAGGCGATTCTACCAGAAGCCGAAGCGTTACAAGCCTCAAAGTAACTTTTATGACACAGAAGAACGCCCAGCAACATGATGATGTTGACAAATGAGGGAGATCTAGATTGCAACAAGACAATTACGCGCTCTACCGACCGCACATCGGCAACATGGATGAGCATACCAGGCAATTGCTACCCGTGGGTACAACGAGGGGAGAGGCAAGAAATCTTCATACCCTCAAGCTACCCAATCACCAGCAGCATTGGAGTAACACATGTGCATCACAACATGCGTATTCCCTGGTAGTTACAACTGTTACACCCATCAGGAAGACTCTACACGGAAGAGGGAGTGGATGGATTCTTCTTCGAACCGTTACGAGTTATGAACACCCACTGTAGCAGCCGCCACAGGAAGTGTCTATCGTCGCCGCTGCCGTCGCAGCAGACAACTACAGTAACACCCGATCCTAATGGATATTCGTCCAAACAATGGAGATGACACTATACCTTCGTCCAGTATAATTGCAACACCTGGCCTGGCACTACATCTGCGATTTCCAGCTAGTGGGATGGAGATACCACTACGCCTTGGACTAACGTGGCTATGCCACATGCCCTCAAGAGCTTATAAAAAAAAGACTCTTATGCGGATGGGAGTACTATGACGATCTTTGAGTCCTCATGGCCCAATGATTTCAATTAAGTAATTACACCTTCGTCACCAACAAATCCATCACCAACATCACCTCCATGGAAGCTGGTAGGCGTGATCCGAAGCTCCGAGGCCACTATGGATAGAGGAATCCGCGTTACTCCAATAGCACCCCTACAAGCAGAATGGGAGCAGATTCAACATTCATGCTGAGTAGCTGAAACGACATCAACGTCATCGAAGCTGTTACTATAGAGGACACATGATGACCTAGTGGACGTACACCTATTCGTGCATCCAGACACCGAGGCCAATTGATGGAATCCGTGCTGAACTTGACACGCATAAGGCATACTCGAGTCTGTCTCTGTGAGAGGATTAGGCTTGCCAAATCCTTGATCACAACCATTTGCTATTTGCTATTTATTGTTTGCTAATATATGTGTTCTTTCCTTTTTGGAAATCCCTACACTCTTCCCTACACACTGATATATTTTACATATATCATATGTGTTACAGAGTGTTTCATGCTTTCCTTGAGTGACACTTTTTCTATTGCGTGGAGTGTTCCGTCACCGTCACCGTATCTCTAGAATCCTTATCGTGCTTCTAGGTGATGTTCCTACGGACAGTTCCACTCAAATCTAGAACTCTCTTAGAATGTCCTAGTTACCCTTCACTAGAGTTCTTGTATGTACTAATAGAATTGACTCTTTGCTTGTATTCAAACATTCAATTCTTAATTAGTATCATTCAAGATTATGCTAAATCCTGGACCTGCGACAGTCTCCTTCTATACTCGCTTCCCCCACCGAGGTCTCCCAGTTACCCCACCACTGTTCCTCGTCCCCACTCCCCCGGTAGCTCCCGCTCCCCATCCTACCCCGTCTGGTGTGTCTCACGTCACTCCCCTTTCCTCGCTTGGCCCGGCGGAGGAGTCTGCTGACTCAGGAGACCCTAAGGCTTAGGGTCCGCTGCCGACCTCCCCGTCCTGCCCTGTATGGTGTGTCTCACGTCACTCCCCTCCTGTCGGTTGTCCCGGTCGAGGATTCGGCTGACTCTGGTGGCCCCACAGCACCGTTCTCGCTGCCTGTCTCCGCCCCGGTGTCTCCTCCTCCGTCGTCGCCGCAGCGGCAGCCGTCGCCGCCATCGTAGCCGTAGCAGTAGGAGCAGTCGCCACCGTCGTAGGGGTCCACCAGCTCTGGGGGTGCGGGCGTTGAGCAAGGTGCTAGTCCAAGGGTTACTGTCGTGGCTTGTCCCGGCGGTCCTGGGGGTGGAACCAGTGCTGGGGAGGGTACTCGTTCTGGGGGTGCTGGTTCTGGGGGTGCTTGTCTTGGGGTTATTGTCATGGCTTGTGATGGTCCTGGGGGTGGCACCGGTGCTGGAGAGGGTTCTCGTTCCGGGGGTGTTGGCGTGGAGAGTCACAGAGGCAGCCATTGTGCGACTGGTGGTCTGTCGACATGGATCAGCACTAGCAACAGCAGTCTCCGCCGGTGTCTGCCCTTCGCCTCCTCGGTCTTCCCTCCCCTGACCACCCACCTGCGCCTCCCCCGCAGCCGCCTCTCCTGCCTGTCTATGACCCTGTGTTTCCGCTGCCGGACTCGTCTCCGCCTCGTTTCCCCCCTCGTTCTCCTCCTGTGTCTCCTCACCCGACGCCTCCGTCCCACTTCTGGTCTCGCCGTCCCTCTCATGCCCATCCTGTCTCTCCTGTTCAGCGCTCTCACCGTATGTTGCTCCGTTCCCATGAGTCTCGTCCTCCCCTCCTCCCGTCGCCTCCTCCGTCGTCGCTTGTTGTCGCTCCGCCCCCTCTGTCTGAATACCTTTGTATCGCTAGTCCTCTTGTTCCTTGAGTCCTTGCCTCCCTCGTTACCGACCCATCTGTTCCTATCTCGAGTCTTGACATTCTTGTCGCTGCCGTCGCTGACTTTGCCTCTACCCGCCGCCTTGACTACGCCACCACTCTGGTCTCTCACCCTGCCTGTCCTCCGTCCGTCGGGGGTGCTCTTGCCCTCGGAAGTTACGTCCTCGAGGATCGGCACTACAAGCTTGCTTTCCTGTCCGAGGCCGCGCCTCATCTCTACTCCATGCTGCTAGTCCCTGAGGGTGACCCTAACGCCTTTGACATCCCGACCCCTCGCACTTACGCTGAGGCGACCTCGGGACCTTGGGCCTCTCAGTGGATAGCTGACATGGACGCAGAGATGGCATCTTGGGGATCCACCGGCACCTACGTCGACGCAGTTCCCCCACTTGGGGTGAACGTAGTCGATGGCCGATGGCTCTTCAAAGTGAAGCGCCCTCCTTGAGAGCCACCGGCGTTCAAGGCGCGCTACGTTGCTAGAGGCTTCAGTCACTGCGAAGGTGTTGACTTCTTTCAGACCTTCGCCCCGACCACGAAGATGACCACACTTCGGGTGCCGCTACACGTAGCAGCTCAACGTGACTACGAGCTGCACTCTCAGGACTTCTCCACAGCGTTTCTCCAGGGCAGTCTACACGAGGAGGTCTACCTGCGCCGTCCGCCGGGGTTCACCGGCACCTTCTCCCCTCGGACCGAGTGGCTCCTCCGACGCCCAGTTTATGGCCTGCGGCAGGCGCCCCGTGAGTGGCACAACATGCTGCGTGCTACGTTAGCTGACTTACAATTCTTCCCGTCGTCTGCAGACCATTCACTCTTCGTCCGTCCAAGACAAACCCCGTTCTACATCCTTGCCTACGTAGACGACCTGGTCTTTGCTACTGCAGACAGAGATGCTCTGGCCTTGGTGAAGGCTGAGCTGGTGAGGAGACACACCTGCACTGACCTAGGAGAGCTGCGCTGCTACCTTGGGCTGCAAATCTCCAGGGATAGAGTAGTGCGCACCATTACTCTCACACAGACACACTTGGTGCGCCAGGTCCTTTAGTGGTTCAGTCTTCAATCCTCCGCGCAACCCACACATCTGCCAGTAGATCACAAGCTCTCGGCTCCAGTCCCTGAGGAGTCGGTAGAGCCTAGTGGTCCGTATGCAGAGCTGGTGGGTTGCCTCATGTACCTGATGACTTGCACTCGTCCAGATCTCGCATACCCTCTCAGCATCGTGGCTTGCTTTGTGGCCACAGGCAGACACCGACCACAGCACCGGTCGGCAGCTAAGAGGGTTTTGCGTTATCTAGCTAGTACATCGGGCATGGGGCTAGTGCTAAGGGGACGCAGGCCAGTGGTCCTGACAGGGCACACAGACGCTTCTTGGGCCAACGACGCAGAGACACTCAGGTCCTCGCAGGGCTACTGCTTTAGCCTTGGTGTAGGCGCTGTCTCATGGAGGTCCACCCGCTCGTCGTCTGTTGTAAAGTCTAGCTGCGAGGCTGAGATCTACGCATGTGCCATGGCGGCACAAGAGCTCTGCTGGCTGACGTTCCTGCTCACAGACTTAGGTGAGCGGCCTAACTCTGCTCCGGTCCTGTACGCTAACAACAGGGCCATGATCCTCCTGTGTCAGGAGCCTCGACTGGAGGGCAGAACGAAGCACATCCAGATGCGGTACTTCCTCCTGCGCGAGCTGCAGCAGCGACGCCAGGCCCGCGTAGTTTACTTAGCCTCCGGTGCCAACACAGCTGATATCTTTACTAAGGCGCTTGCGCCTAAAGATCATCATCGGCACTGTGTACAGCTTGGTCTAGTTCCAGTAGCTCCTCACTTGCTAGGACCTTGATTGTGTACTACTCTTATTATATTCTCCTGACTAGCCTTGTGGCTTTTGCTCCAGTGGTCGGACTAGTAGTGCCGCCCTGGTTTGCTCTTGTCTTGTTTGTACTCTTCTGACTGGTCTTACGACCCTTGCCTCAGAGGTTGGACTAGTAGTGCCACCCTGAGCTGCATGTCTCTTGCCAGGCACCGCCCCTTGTCTAGCCTAGGGGATGTGACAACATATAGTTGTATATGTTATTGGCTAGATAGGTGCATGCTCATAGAGGGTACAGCACCATAGCACAAAACCTCCCTGTATGGCTCAATCTAGTTCATTGCGTTATTCTAACAAAGTTGTGAGCAGTGGAAGCTCGCGCGAAACAAAAGCTCGCTCTGCGAAGCCCGACCTTCGCCAATGAAGTTCGTCAGCCTTCTGGCATCCCACCTACCTCAGGCATGAGCTGAGTTAACAAACTGATACAAAATCTATTAATCAACAATCTTGCACGGCATAAATGTTATTCTATGAGTGTCATTGACTCATTTCGCATCACATGATTCTTCCATCTACTAACCGCATCAACCATAGATGTGTGGTTCATCCACGGCTTATTCCAACGTGTGTGTTCGATGCATGTGTGCACATATGACAGCGGAAGGTAAGCACCCCATGATGCCTTGTTTTGTAACACCATCTTCACTTGCTCGTATAGAGTCAAGGCCATCTGGAACAAGGAATCGCGCTCCGGCTTCAAGCACGCCGACTTGAAACTCCACCGCAACTCGCCCCACCGTTTGTTTTTCACTGTAGCCGCGAGACTCTTTTGGGTGAAGAGTATCTCTTCTAAGCAGGTTTTTGCATATGTCATATTGTAAGGCAGGAGGTTACCAATCATGGCAGCAATATAGTCGAAGGGAGCTTGGAAGAGGAAGACCGGGGTGGATATGTTGGGAAGGGTGTGCTGTAGAAAGAAGCACTTCCATTGCTCTGATTGGTTGGCAGCTGGAAAGGAAGGGGTGGAGAATGGTGCGGAGGGGTTAGAGCGCAGCAGCAGGGACAAAGGGACCGAAGGATGAACATAAAAAAGTTGAATAATCCCCACATGTTAGGGATGCAAGAGGGGATACCATGCAAGCAAGTGGGGATGCCATGCAAGGAAGGGGGGATGCCATGCAAGCAAGGGGGGATGCCATGCAAGCAAGTGGGGATACCATGCAAGCAAGTGGGGATGCCATGCAAGGAAGGGGGGATGCCATGCAAGCAAGGGGGGATACCATGCAAGCAAGGGGGGATGCCATGCAAGGAAGGGGGGATGCCATGCAAGGAAGGGGGGATGCCATGCAAGCAAGTGGGGATACCATGCAAGCAAGGGGGAATGCCATGCAAGCAAGGGGGGATGCCATGCAAGCAAGGGGGGATGCCATGCAAGCAAGGGGGGATGCCATGCAAGCAAGGGGGGATGCCATGCAAGCAAGTGGAGATACCATGCAAGCAAGTGGGGTTGTGTGGTCGGTGCAGCCATGTGACGTTCTGAGCCAGCGAGCGAAATGTCCTTTTTGAAAAGCGATCTAGCGTGTCTGACACGGATGAAGGGAAACAGGGCGGCCGGAACAAAGGAGAAGTGAGGTGGGGGGGCACTGGGCCTCTTGAAGGTGGAGAAGTGAGGTGGGTAAATAGTCCTCTTAAAGGGCACTGGGCGTTTGGTCATGCCACTATGCATGGTATGGTCAATGCATGGTACGGTCAATCCATGGTATGGTCAACGCATGGTATGGCCAATGCGTGGTATGGTCAATGCATGGTACGGTCAATCCAAGGTATGGTCAACGCGTGGTATGGTCAACGCAGGGTATGGTCAACGCATGGTATGGTCAACGCGTGGTATGGTCAACGCGTGGTATGGTCACTGCATGGTGTGGTCAACTCGTGGTATGGTCAATGCGTGGTATGGTCAATGCATCGTATGGTCAATGCATCATATGGTCAATGCATCGTATGGTCAATGCATGGTATGCCCAATGCATGGTATGGGCAATGCATGGTATGGTCATTGCATGGTATGGTCAATACGTGGTATGGTCAATGCGTGGTATGGTCAATCCATGGTATGGTCAATGCATGGTATGGTCAATGCATGGTATGGTCAATGCGTGGTATGGTCAATGCGTGGTATGGTCAATGCGTGGTATGGTCAATGCGTGGTATGGTCAATGCGTGGTATGGTCAATGCATGGTATGGTCGATGCATGGTACGGCAAGCAAGGGTTGGCAGACGAGGGGTTGACCTACCGAGGAAGAAGCCCGAGTCTATGAGGCACCGCACGGATGCAGAAGGGAAAGAAGAGGCAAACCAATCACAGAGGTTTGCCACGGCCTGCCCGCCAGCTGAGCTGCCCGAAAACAAAATCTGTGAGGCTGAGTCAATGCCACGATTTTGCCGGAGGTCTGATGGGGTGCGGGGGGGGGAAATGGGGGGAGAGTGAGGGGAGGGGAGAGCGAGGGGGGGGAGGGGGAGGGGGAGGGGGGAGGTGGGTTGGGGTGGATGGATGACTAGAGGGGGGAGTGGAAAGGGATAGGTAAATAAGGCCAGGATTGCACAAGGAAATCAACGTTTGGATACCATGAGAGAAGGGTTGGCTTAGGAGGGTGAGCCCCACAAAACAACGCAGAGAGTCAGATCATCACACCTTGCAGCACGGCCTGAACGATGTTCCAGCCGTCCAGATAAATGGCTGAAGCCGGCGATTCGTTCGACCCCATTGACTCCATTGACTCGATTGACCCGATTGCCTCCAACGTTGCATCTGTTGCGGCAGCGAGCCGCATGGACTTTGAAGAAGGGACTGAAGAAGGGGCGGCTGTGCCCAGGCCAAGTGAGCTGTCATTGAACATCAGCTGAAGCTGCCGGGTCAGGTTCAGCTGCCCTCTGGTGCCAGCGTAGCCCCCCCCATCGCAGTAGATGACACTCGCGAGGTTCCAGTTATGGAAGTCGGGGTTTAATTTGTCGTCGGGGCTATACCCTCGAATGGGACCTGTAACAAGACAAAGGGTTACAGGACATTGTAACAGTGCGCAAGAAGGGCGTAGAGTCGGAGACTGGTTTGAGTGGTTCAGGCGAGAGGGGCTGGGGTGAGGTGGAGGAGAGAGTTGAGGGTTTGAGGGTAGTGGTAGTCTTACATAGTTGGGGGGCGTCTTAGGGTATCCTCTCGTTGAGCCGAGTCTCGTGCCGGCCCGCTTCGCACATTCCTCGACAGTGACACACCAGCCGCCGCTTGACAGGTGGACATGCCAATTCCGGCGGCCTGAGCCCGCGCCCGGGCGGAAATAGTACCCTGGAGGGCTGTGGGGAGGGACGGAAATACATAGTACGCCATGATGGCGTGGAGAATGTATGATGGAAAGAGAGGGAAGACGGGGCAGAGGAAAGGAATCATTGGTGAAGGGGCTGATATTTTGGGGATCCATTATAGAGGTGGTGTCATGAAGATCACTGTACTCGTGTTCGCTATAGCAGACATTCAGAAGTCCGTAGTTCACTTGGCTTGGCGAGGACACACCTTGCAACACCGAGCACAATCGCTGTGAAGCAAGAATGCAGAAGAAACGGACTATCCATTCTCACTGACTACGATCGCCTCCGCAACACGTGTGATTCCCGGGGATCCCTTACCTCCCATCCAGGCATTTGGCACCGCCGCGGCGAGGGCTATCATAGCCCTTATCATGAGGGCTAGTATCATTTCCACGAGGGCTACTAGCGGTATCATTTCCCTTATAAAGAGGGCTGCTAGCGGTATCATTTCCCTTATAAAGAGGGCTGCTAGCGGTATCATTTCCTTTATAAAGAGGGCTGCTAGCGGTATCATTTCCCTTATAAAGAGGGCTGCTAGCGGTATCATTTCCCTTATAAAGATGGCTGCTAGCGGTATCATTTCTCTTATAAAGAGGGCTGCTAGCGGTATCATTTCCCTTATAAAGAGGGCTGCTAGCGGTATCATTTCCCTTATCACGAGGGCTAGTTTCTTTGCCCTTATCAGGGGGGCTATCGTATCCCGTATCACGCGAGGCAGTATCATAGCCGTCATCATGAGGGGAATCATATCCCTGATCACCCCTCGGAGGGGCATCCAGTATCAGATAATCGCCTGACAGCAGAACGAGCGTCGCCTCATCATGCGAGGGTTTATGCTGATCGGCGTGAGCCCGCTTCGCCCAGAGGATGACTCCGATTACCAGCGCCAGCCCTGCGACTATCATGAGTGAGAAGAGCACGAGGGACTTCATGTTCCGGCCAGACTCCGTCATGTTCTACCGGAGGAGCACGAAGGAGGAGCACGAGAAGGAGGAGCATGAAGGGAAGGAGGAGGCCGCGCTTTGACAATATTCTAGACTGAGTGGTGCAAAGCGGTATGTTTTCCTCGGGAGTCTGTGTCCTAGACCCTGATGTTGAACATAATTCGTTTCTCAGATACCATCGTGGTTAGGAGATGACGCTAGGCAGTCTAACGTGCTGGCTGGCACCTATTTTAGAGGCGCCTTAAAAATAGTCTAACGTGCTCTGGCTGGCACCTACTACCACTAACCTTGCTACATGGAACGGAGGTGGGAAAAAGTAGAGGAGAGCCCAGCTGTAGCCCGATCGTGAGTCGAGCTGACGCCAGGGTTGAGCGATGGCCGCTGTTGAGCAACAGCCAGGTTTGAGCGAAGCGAACTCCCAGTGGGAGTAGAACGACCAGGTTGCGCGACGAACGAAAGAGTACGCGAAAATGCGACGGCTTGGCGAGGCGTGGGTAGCTGGGAGGAATTCGAAAACGGTGGCACGTGCGGGGCACGTGCGGGGCACGTGCGGTGCGGACTTGCCCGGACCAGCGACGAATCCGAGAAATCTCAGAAGGGGGTGGTGTGCCATGCCCAGGGCAAATGATCTGGGTTGACCTGAGCCTCGCGCCCGAAGGCTCGAGCCCAAGCCACAGAACAGGTTCCCCAGAAGGTAGGTAGGCCAGAATTCAGTTTTTTCATCTGTAGGGTAGAGGCGCAAAATCGAAGGATTTCTTTGCGACATATGTTCGACTCCGGCCTTCGCTTGCAGTCAGATCTTTCCTCAGTAGTGCAATCCTCGCTCGCCGTTCCATTGCACATCGTATGCACAACTACAACCACACAAGATGTATCAACTTCGTTCAGATATAGAACCATCCAATACTTTTTTTTCTACATTTCATTCTACAAGTACGGTAGACGCGTTTTGTGACTCGGCATTTTCCCATCTACCAACCACATCAGCCAAAGATGTGTGGTTGATCCACGGCTCATTCCAACATGTGTTCGCGATGCATGTGTGCACGAACAATACTGGAATATAAACCCCAATTGATGTCTTTTGCCGTAAGACCGTCTTCAGTTGCTCATACAAATTCAACGCCGTCCAGAACAAGGAATCGCGCTCCGGCTTCAAGCATGCCGACTTGAAACTCCACCTCAACTCGCCCCATACTTTGTTTCTCACTGTAGCCGCGATACTTTTTTGGGTGTAGAGTATTTCCCTCAAGCATCGCAGCGAATGAGCATAATTGAAAGGCAAGAGGTTCCCGATCCAGGCAGCGGCATAGTCGAAGGGCGTTTGGAAGAGGAAGACCGGGGTGGATATGTTGGGAAGAGTGTGCTGTAGAAAGAAGCATTTCCATTGCTCTGATTGGTTGGCAGCTGGATAGGAAGGGGTGGAGAATGGTGAGAAGGGGTTAGAAAGCGACATCAAGGACAAAGGGACCAGGGGATGCACTTGTTGTACAAATGGAAGAGGGAAGACGGGGTTGCAAGCGTACCATGTGTGCAAGTGGGGTTGAGTGGTTGGTGTAGCGATGTGAGGTTCTGTGCGAGCATGCGGAATGTCCGCCTCGAAAAACGATCCTTTGTGTCTGAAACGAAGGGAGCGCGTGAGAGCAACAATGAAAGCACCATTCGGGAGAGAGAAAAGGGACCATCTATGAGAGAGAGGGAGGGTGAAGGGTCGAAACAAGGATGGAAAAGCGAGGTTTATGAATTAGTCACCTTAATGGGCATTAGGCGTTTGCACCAGCAACAACGCAAGGGTTGGCAGACCAGAGGTTGACCTACCGAGGAAGAAGCCCGCGTCTATGAGGCACCGGACGGAGACAGAAGGGAATGAAGAAGCCAGCCAGTCACAGAGGTTTGCCACGGCCTGCCCACCAGCCGAACTGCCCGTAAGCAAAATCTCTGTGGCAGAGCCAATGCCACGCCTTTTATGGAGGTCTGACAGCGTGGTTGGGGGGGGTGCGTGGGTAGGTCGGGAAGTCGAAGGGAAAGGTAATAAAAGGAGAGGTAATTTAGGAAAGATAAGTAAAAGGAGATGTACATAAAGGAACATGTAAATAAGGACAGGGTTGCACAAAGCCAAGCAAGATTTGGATACCAGGAGAGCAAGGTCTACATAGGTGGGTGGGTGAGCACTGAGCCCCACAAAACAACGAAGACAATCGGCACACCTAGTAGATGGGTAAGCGCAGCACACCTTTCAGCACGGCCTGGACGATGTTCCAACCGTCCAGGTAAATGGCTGAAGCAGGCGATTCGTTTGACGTTGACTCCGGTGACTCAGTTGACTCCATTGACTCGGTTGACTCCATTGTCTCCATTGATTCCATTGACTCCATTGGTCCGATCGCCTCCAATATCGGATCCGTTGCTGCAGCGAGCCTCGCGGTTTTCGACGAAGTGACCGAGGAAGGGACGGCCGAAGAAGGGGCGGCCGAGTTGAGACCAAGCAAGGTGCCATCGCTGAGGTTCACCCGCCCTCTGGTGCCGGCGTAGCCCCCTCCGTCGCAGTAGACCAGCCTCGCGAGGTTCCAGTTATGGAAGCTGGGGTTTAAGCTCTTGTTGGGGCTCAGCATACCTTCAAAAGAAACCTGATACAAGGCAAAGGGTTCAAGGGACGTAACAGTGCACAAGAAGGGCGTTGATAATGGTTCAGGCGGGAGGGGGTGGGTTGGAGAGAGTGGGGGATGAGGAGGGTGCGCCCAGAGCGAGCTCGGGAGGAGGGTTCTGGAAGTGGGAAAGGTGAGCGCTCAGGGCTGGGGTGGGAAAATACCCCTTGGGACGTTATGAGGGTTTGAGGGTAGTAGTCTTACGTATTTGGGAGGCGTCTCAGGGTATCCTTTGGTCGAGCCGTATCGTGTGCGCGCCCGCTTCGCGCATTCCGCGACAGTGACGCACCAGCCGCCCCCGGGCAGGTGAATATGCCATTTCAGGCGTCCTGAGTCCCTGCCTCGGCGGAAATAGTATCCTGGAGGGCTATAAGAGGGAGGATTGTTGTGGATATGGTGTGGAAAATATGTCAGAACAAAAACGAATGATAGAGTGAATCGAATCATGAGGGGCAGGCGTGAAAACTCGTACTGAGGGAATTGTAATCCCCTGGGTTCCTCAACTCCCATTCCCTGGGCATTTGGCACGTTTACTACGGGATTTCTTACCTGCCGTCCAGGCATTTGGCACCGCGCGTGCTGTTGGGAAGCCGAAAGAGCGCCGGGTTTTCATCAGAGGGCTGCTTCCAGACGATGACTGCGATGATTAGGCCCAGCAGTAGCGCGAGCGCTGCGAATATTGTGAGCGATTTGAGCAGATGGGACTTTCTGTCAGCCATGGCCGCTACAGCACGCGGCGGAATGAAGGAAGGGATTGTGGAGGCGCCAAACTATCCCAAAAATAGGAGTACTCCCATCTTTCTATGCGTCGCTGTCCTATCTTTTAGGGTGGGATTTTCGCGAGCGTGAATCTTGGGATGATATACCACGAACAGGTAATCGCCGTCATTCGTTCTGCAAGAACCATCATATGGCTTGAGGATCAGGAAGGATCGGTACTATGCTAGCCCGTTCTTGCTACCGCTAACCGTGTTTGCTAGCAAGAAGGTGGAAGGACGAGGAGACGAGGCCAGTAGCGGCTGCAGCCCCCTTGCCCCGAGATGGTGAAAGCGCCCACTGGCAACGACTCACCCCCCGCCCCGCCACACAGCCGCACCAACCAGGGACAAGCCTCGCTTTGTCTGCCCAGGGCGGGCGAGGCGCCTCAAAAACCCACCATTGACAGACCTCGGTTCTGCCCAAACCGATGAACGGAGTCGACGAATCCGCTCGAAAGAAAAATGCTGAGACGACTTGGGGTGAAGTGGTGATTGGTTGGGATTGGATTGCGCAAAAACGGCAGCGGGAGCGATGCCGCAAATTCGGACAGTTGGTGCGCGTGGACTTGCCTGGTTCACGTGGGCGAATTCGAGACCCGATAAAGGATACTGAGGGCGGAGAACAGCTTCTTACAAAGCCAAAGCTCTGAATTATGGGACTTCGGTTTATGCGAGTTGGCACAAAATTATGCCTATCAAGGCGTAACAAAATCTACTTACTGGTCTTCGCTCAGTCAGCCATTCTTCACTCCAAGTTCGTTCAAGTAAAGAACCATCCAATATTAAAACGGCATAAATGTCATTCTATAAGTACAGTAGACGCGTTTTGTGACACGGCGTTTTCCCATTTACCAACCACATTAGCCATAAATGTGCCGTTGATCCATGGCTCGTTCCAACATGTGCTATCAACGCATGTGTGCAGGAATGACACCGGAAGGTAGTGCCCATCGATTTTTTCTTTTGTAAAACCATCTTCACTTGCTCGTATAAAGACAATGCCGTCAAGAATAAGGAATCACGCTCTGTCTTCAAGCATGCTGACTTGAAACTCCACCTCAACTCGCCCCACTTTTTGCTTCTCACTATAGCCGCGAGACTCTTTTGGGTGTTGAGTATCTCTCTCAAGCAGAAGAATGCATTAGCATAATTGTAAGGCAACATGTTGCCAAGCAAGGCAGCGCCATAGTCAAATGAAGTTTGGAATAGAAATAACGAGGCTGATATGTTGGGAAGGGTGTACTGTAGAAAGAAGCATTTCCATTGCTCTGACTGACTGGCAACTGGACAAGACGAGGGGAGAGAAAGGACATGAGGGATGTTGGAAATACCTCGAAGACTTAAGCGTTTCTGAAGTGTAATACTACACTCGAGGAAAGTCGTATCGGGTACGCGAGTCAATGGAGGTTACACGAGGAGGTTGGACGAAAGAATACGAAAGGGCGAAGGAACTCAAAGGGTCGCAACAGGAGGTTGCGATTGACCGTTACGACTGCAAGGGTGGTAACCGAACCGACAATCGAGTCGCTGTGCGACTCGATAACTGTTCCTTCAACTGTATTCTACAACTGCTTCATCTCTTATTTTCTGTATATTGCTGTATGCTTGTTTCTTTTAATCAATCACTTGCTCTCACATACTAGTGCAAGGGTTCAACTACTCAACACTTCCGCTGCACTACTCAAGCTTTTTGTACAAGTGGGACTTTGTCTCTGAAAAGGTCCTAAGGCTTTTTCTCAGCCCACCATGGTATGTGAGCTAGTCAGAGACCAAACTCCCATCGACAACATCCTATCTAAAGTCAGCACATCAAAAGCTTCATCGATTACAAGACATGGACAACTAGGGCAAAAAGTCTTCTACGGGCTTACCCAGCGCCCAAGCCACTCAACCCGGCATCTCTGGACTACACACATCTGGACTACAAACCGAGACCGGCGCTGCTCAAGAAACAACAATGGTGACCCCTTCACCCTCTTCAGGTGTGGACCCGAACCTTATGGAAAGGTTCTTCAGCTTCATGTCGCACTTCGAGCAGCAGCAGCAGACAGGGACACCTGCACATTCAATACAGAGTAACGGAGGAAATACAGGGTTAGCACCGATGAGCCTCGACAACTCATCATTCGGGCGGCAAAACCAGGCGCCTACCTTTGCGCCTTATCACTCTTCATTAGGGACGTTCGATTTCATGCCGCCCCGTGCTCAACCGACAGCAGCTGCATCACAACACTCACAAAACGAAATATTAAGTCTCGAGGTGCAGTTTTCACATGTGATCAAACTGCAGACATCTTCACCGTTCAACGGGCACGAATTCTTTACCTGGAGCTTTGAGTTCGAGCTGCTGATGGAGGCCGCGCACCTCTTGGGATACTTCAACGGGTCCCTGCCATTTCCAAGCAATGGCACTGCAAAGGACCAGGAAATCTTCACCTATCAGTCGCTGCTGGCATACACAGTTCTCCTGCGAAACCTTTCACAACAAGAACAACAAAGCGTCAAAACGTATCGAAGCTACGGAAACTCCGCGGAGCTCACCTGGCATCATCTGAAATGTCTCTATCAGGCAAACGACAGTGTGACACAAAGCAGGCTCATGCAGCAATTGACAACAATACAAATGAAGACCGGGGAAAAGGCGATGCAGTATATGAGTCGCTGCCAGACACGTCGCGACTGCCTGCTTCGGTGCGGAGGCACAATCACTGAAGAAAGCTTCGTGACACTTGTTCTCGCCGGGCTTGGACCAGAATGGAGAACCACCCACTCGCTTCTTCGCGTCCACGGACGAATTTCTGAGATGCACCTCTGCGCCGAGCTTCAAGCTGAACAATAGGAGATGGACCTGTTTGAAGAAAGACAACCACGAAGCAAGCAACAACCGTTAGTCTTCTACACTCAAAGAAGAAACAAAAACAACCACAACCGATGTGACAAGCAGAATCGACATGACACCAGAGGCCTCACCACCGTGCCGCCGTTCTGCCACAACTGTCAGACATCCGGGCACTCCAAGGTCAACTGCACACGCCCTCGAGTTTCTCGTCCAGCAGACCCGCAAGTCGCCTCCACTCAAGCAAATCCACCAAGTCGTTCCTCTACACCTGCACAAGGCGCACCAAACATCATTAACTGCATGGTACGAATTGACAGCTGCACACCCGGGTCACCACCCACTTACACTCCAGACAAAGAAGAGCTACCGCCGCCGTGCTCACAAGGCCTTCAGGTCAACCCCACGTATGCTACAGTCGCCAACAACGAACCCACCGGGTGAAACACCTGGTTCTTTGACAGCTGCTGCGGTCAACACATGTGTTCTTCAAGGCGCTTCGTGCAATAAGAGCGACGCCTCAACCGCGACGTCATCATCACCGTCGCCAATAATGAGAACCTGAAGGCAAACAGACAAGGAGTCGTTCAGCTTCAGTCAATGGAGACAAACGTCATACTGCAACTCAACAAAGTTCTCATCGTCGACAATCTGGGATACAATTTATTAAGCGTCAGCCAGTTAATGGCGAAAGGAATTCACCTGGAATGCGACTCGTACGCCAACGAGTTCCGCCTTTATCACGGGAAGGGCGGCCTCGTCATCGGTCGCGCTCTCCTGAAGTCGGGCGTCTTCGTGCTGGACTTCGTCCCCGACCGCGGTACTGCCGACAGCGACGGCATCGTGTCGTTCGCCGTCTGGACGCACCCGCCCGATCTTGACCCCGCCATGCGGGTTCTGGTACTCCAACACCATCCCTGCAGTAGAGAGAACACGAGCATTAGCAGTCATTCGACAAGAACGACAAGTACCAACAAGTATCCCTTCCCCAACATCACCTGCAGTAGCAGCAGCAGGACCCAGCCGTGCGCCATCACCAGCAATCCGAGGACCGCCAACCAAAGCAGATCAGCTCATGCCCATCACCCGAGGAGTCTGCCGTAGTCCCGCTATGGTTGTCGCATTCTTCTCCAACGCCGACCTGTACCGGCGTTCACCCGGCCATCGCGCTCCTGACGACATCTGGCATCAACGCATCGGACACCCTGCAAATAGCACAATTCTTCAAACCATACAAGCGGAAGTATTAGAAAAATACGCTCTCCTCACAACGAGCGGCCAAGAGCTTCGACGACCCCGCGCACGATGCTTCACATGCCCCGAAGCTGATCTTCCCCATCAACCTTTCCCGTCGCACCACAATCCAAGCGCACCTGCATACGCACCGATGGAAAAGGTTTACAGTGATATTTTAAATATGCCTCGAGACTACAGTGAAGCAGAGTACAACTATGTTATCACGTTCATCGATGCAGCAACACGATACGTCTGGCACTTCAACCTCAAAACTCGTGACCAAGCGTTCGAAGCTTTCACGACATGGCTCCCCATCGCTGAACGAGAATCGGGCTCCCAACTCAAGAGTTTCCAGTCAGACGGGGCAGTGGAGTATCAGTCACAAAGGTCAGGAGCTACTTGGCGGAAAGAGGCATCAAACGCCTGGTGTCCCTGCCCTACGCTCTCCAGCAGCAGGGGGTCGCAGAGAGGATGAACCGCACCTTGCAGACGACGATGCAAAAGCTGCTCCTGGGGGTGGGACTGCCCAACACCCTTTGGCCTGACGCGATGACGCATGCAGTCCATCTCCACAACTCGCTGTCCTCGTCATCACTTCCCAACAGCGCATCACCGCACCTGCTGTGGACAGGAAAACTGGGCAGCACAAAATTACTTCGAGTTTTCGGCTGCATGGTACAGTACAGACCCCACACAGCTCGAGCAGGACGATTTTCTCAACGAGCACGGTGGGGACTACACCTCAGCATCGCAAAACATTTTCACGCGTGGAAACTTCTCGACATCCAGGACAAAAACACCGTGGCCTCACGTGATGTGATTTTCTACGAGAGACTGAAGCTGCAGCATTACCTGGACAACGTCGCCAACACCGCAGACCCCACGGACGGCTTTGAGGGCCATCGGTCCTTTGCCGACCGTGCTGTCGAAGCTGACGCAGCAGAAGAAGACGTATCTGAAGCCTCGGAAGCTGCCGGACCACTCCCTTACTGCTCCGTACCTGTTCCAACGACTCTGTCACAGGCTCTAGGGGGGGAACACAAGGCGAAATGGAAGGAAGCAATGGAAAAGGAACTGAAGGCCCTGCAAGACCGAAACACATGGAAACTAGTCCCCGCAACAAAGACCAATGGGCGGAATGTGCTCA